GTTACTAGAATGAACATACGCACCGGGCTTACTACTTTCAACTTTCTTCGACTAGGATTCATGGTCCAGGCCTTGCCGTCCCCGGAGTAAAGGCACTCGATCGGCCGGTAGTACGTCGTGTAGACTTCGTCAGCTCTGACTTTTGCTTTTCCATTGAGTGGCAAAGCTCGGCAAAAACCAAAGTCGGACAGCACCACCCGCTCGCCGAGGAGAAACACGAGGAAGTTGTTCGTTTTCACGTCCAAATGTACGATGTTTTTGCTGTGCACAAATGTAAGAGCTGCGAGTGTCTGCCGAAAGTACGTCGTTACTTGGGCTCGTCGTGTGCTCCAGGGAACTCCGTCCTGAAGGTCGTCCGTCTTCAAGTCCCGTGTGGCCTTCAAGAGGTCGCAGGAAGCCCGCTCCATTAGAATTCCCGTGTGCCCAGTCGAGGATGTCAGCAAGGCATAGAGTCGCAGAACATTCGGATGAGGTCCTACCTGGCTCAAAAGAGTGAACTCACGGGTCAAGTCCCACGTCTTTTCGAGACCGTCTTGGTGCACGTCCAACAGTGCAGTCTCCCTGTCCGGCGTGCGAACGGCCACTTTCAAGGCTAACTTCAGGCCCTGGTACGTGCAAGCGAAAATCTCCCCGTACGTGCCGCGACCCATATGTTTCTCCTGCACCAGTGGGTCCTCGGCCGTGTAGCGAAAAATGCCACGACCGTCGAAGTCCTGCGACTCTGCGACGTCCGGCAGTGCTCTGTCCATGAACGAAGCGGGGGGAACTTCCGTGTGTTTGGCCTGTCGAAATTCTTCGCGTTGGACCCGATTCTCCTGGTAGCCCTGCCTGGCCTTGCGTGTGTACTCGTCACGGAGGTCCTTTCGGTTGTGCCTCGGGGAACAGAGGAATTTTACTGGACGATTGGGTGAAAAGGTAATCCCCGAGTAAAAAGTAACATGACTTGTATTAGGACTTTTAGCTACATCTTATTAATTATGTCTGAAGTAAATAACTTTGGTACGTAGCTAAGATGGCATATTCGGGTTCCTGACCAGAATTGCCAAGATTTTACTTCCCGTGGCTTCAGATGACTTGGGGTTCTAGGCAAGGGGCACATGTGTCAGTATCTATATTGATTTTGCAGCCAAGAAGCCACTTGCGCAGATAATGTTTTGAACCGCGAAGTGATGTTTTCCGGGACAGTCGACGACGAGATTTGGGGTCCACAGAGTCCTTGCACATGTCCTGCATGAACAGCGCGTATGCCGAGGGTCGTCGTGACAGTCCCACCTCCTGTAACTTCGGCCGGGCCACCATGGCACGAGTAATACTTCGAGGATGGAACCACGAGTCGAGACATGTACAGAGACTCTTTCCGTTCCATTTATTTCAACAAAACTGAATTCTCATGGACTCCCACCGAGAATAAAAACCTAGGTTTCAAGTACAAACATTTCTGGTACAATTTCCAGTTGCGCTACATGACTACTCATTATCTTGTGTGTCCGTGGGGAAAGTTACACAAAAGGTGAGTGAGGGCGCGTTGGCTCGCCATATCAGTACATGTCTGGCCTACTTAAAATACGTGCTCAATGCATGGACGACATGCTCCTGAACTTGAACCCACATCACCGCCACTGTCTCACACACGTAGCAGTGCATTACAGAAGTCTGACTAGAAGCATCAATTGCACGGATCAAACACGCGTGCAAAGCGGAATAATCCTCTTTTGGGCCCGACGAATGTGTGCATCGATGCTGAACGACGATGTGCTACGAGGAGAAAAAGTCCAATCACGGGCATGTCAAGTCCGAGTGAACTCAGGAGTCGAACCTTGTCAATCGCTCCTGCAAGTTTTCGGGTGGATCACGTCCTTCGTGGTGCTCCACCCATGACCAACCTTGTGTTACACAGGCTCGACCGGCGGCAGCTTCACCTACTTGTGTCCATGAAATACTACGTGTAATGCTGACTACAGCTGTCTTGTACGACACCTTCCAACGACCATTCTTTGGGTCCGTCCAAACCTGTACAGTATCAGGAACCATGCTCTTCACAAGCTCGTCCGTCGTGGCATTCAGCTTTGCGTACACCCGGTCGTACTGCTGCTTTAGCTTTTTGCTGTCCTTCTCGGCCTTCTGAGTCTTGCGTCGGCGTGTGTCCTGTCCGGCCTTCCAAAAGTCCTTGTCCAGGTCCGAGACGGCGTTCTTGTACATCGTGCATACCTTGGGTCGTAGACTTTTGGCCGAAACCGTGGACCGACGGGCACTGAGCTCCTTGAGGGCCTTGTCCTGCTCGCCAATGAGCAGCGTGTCCCGAACGACGGCTTCCAAGTCCTTGTCGTCGACCTCCGGCATCCACTTGTCAGTCTGATGCCTTGCCAGGATTCGTTGAACCACGTCCTCTTCGACCAACGAGTTGTCCATGTTGAGCATGGCGGCAACAGCCAGCTGATGTCCTGCGTCCACACCTGATTTGGGTTGGGTGGCGGTCCAACCCATGTGCTGGCACAACCTGCGCAACAAAGCCTCAGAACAGGCAGCGAAGCCCTGCTCGGCGTGAAAGTCCAACGTGCCCATCTTCTTGTCCACCAAAAACACGATGCCGTTGTTGAGGTGGCTGCCCTGCGTGGAACGACCTCAGCAGTAGCAGTAGCGGCAGCAACACTCTTAGTAAAAAATGATCGCAATCGTTAAGTTTTGCGCCTGGTCAGTAAAAAGCGGTGATATCACTAGGAAGACTGGTAAAAAGACTCGAAAAGGGTAGTAGTAGTAGTAGTAGTAGTAGTAGTAGTAGTAGTAGTAGTAGTAGTAGTAGTAGTAGTAGTAGTAGTAGTAGTAGTAGTAGTAGTAGTAGTAGTAGTAGTAGTAGTAGTAGTATCATCATCACACTCGCTGCGGACGGTGAGGTCGCATTGCGATGACTCGAGCGGGGTCACCCGGCGCACTGTGGCGCTCGATCTCAGTTGGATCGACTCATCTAGCTACGTAGCTACTCTGCCCCGAAGGGCCTATGCTGAGGTTGCAGCACTCCTCATTCGGTACACAAGGATGTAATTGGAGGTGGACAAGGCTTCTGGTGTGACCGATTGCGCAGGACTATTGTCGTCGGTGTGATGCCACACGTTCGCTGTGCCTGAACGAGGTTTGAGTGCAGCACGGTAGTGCCCACTGACCGTGGTCGGTCCTATATGCTGGACAATCGCCTGAAGCTGATACGTTCTCCAAATGATACCTTCAGGGGATGAGGGAGTCCATTGTGGGAAAAGGACTTCTGGATCAGCATCTATGCGATGGTCACGTTTGGATGCAATGCCCCGTTCATTGCGAAAGCGGTTGAGCTGTACAGCCACAGCTTCAGTGCCTGCAATCAGGGCGTGGCGACGTTTCTGCGAATGCCAGCGATTGATGCAGGACTGGGCAGTGGTGGCAATTGTGTTAGAGGCATCTTGCATACCGGAAAGTATGAGTGGGCAGACCCCGCCTTCATCTTGAAGCATGTGGCTGTCGTCAAAGGACTGCCAGAGGCCCTGGAAGCAGGGTGCATTGAGGACTTGGTGTAGGTGAAGGAGGAAGTCCGCTGCATCATGTTGCCTGGCTGGGTTGGACCAGCGTCGCATTGCCTGCCTCCACGGGAGGAGCGACCAGAGTGTCACTGGCTGTTGTTTGCGCGCCTGGGCGATGAAGCTCCTCAGCGGTTCCCTGTCCAGTACCTGAAAGGAGGAGGGGGTTTGGGACACAAGCCAAAGATAAGTAAAAAGGCAGGCATGGGAGTAACAGTAGTTGGAAGGATTGCGGAGCTGCAATGTCGGGAGCAGGGCTGAGGTCTCGGCGGCTGTCTCGGCATAGGGATGTGCATGGACTGGAGGAGGGTCTGCAGCTGTTGGGCCAAGGCTGATCTCTGGAGGCGATCCGGACGAAGGGTGCAACCGATCATCAGGAGGGAGGAGTTGTGTGAAAGGAGCTGGAGCAGCTCCCAGAAGCGAGCCGTTTGCTCGCCCCTCCAGCCCACTTCCAATAGCCAGGTCACTGTGCTGCCTTCCATTTTCTCCTCCAGCTGACGAGTGGCATGGAACCGGTTGAGCAGTTGCGGTTGTACGCTCAGCGTCGCTAGCTCCTTTGCAATCTCCACCACTTTCTGCGCCGAGAGCGGTTCGCGATCGGGAATGGGCTGCATCACGCCCTCCTTGTTGTTCCATTTGCGGTAGCCCTCGCCGTGGTGGAGTCCTTCACGTGGGCGAGCGGGGGACAAGATCCTTTTGCATCTTGGGTACAGCAAAAAGTGAAAATAGCGCCTGAGCGACTCAGCTGCATTGAGTGTGAACGCAGGCATCAGTGACGTAGTCGAGTCAACGACCGTGAATTCCAATATGAGGGCCCCACAAGGGCACAGCAGCTCCGGGGTAAAATCCGGACATATCTCATGCACATGTCGCCTACGGCTCAAGATCGATCTTGACGAACTCCTACCCTTTGGGTGCCACGAGTCAATCAGTCTCACCACTTCGGGTTTTGCCAAGTGCAGTGTGGCGAGTGCCACCAACCCTCCACGGTGCCTTCCAACCTGGCTTGTACTCTGGCTTGCTTTTGGCAGTCTCTGCTTAGGGTCCCAGGTGTTGACGGGGTATCCTTCTGGGTATCTCCGTCGCCTGGGGTCCTGGGAGGCCTCGTGCCGGATAGCTTTCTGGGTGGGCTATCGGGCGAAGCTAACCTGGCCTTGGATCTTGAGGGGTTCAATTGGTGACAACCCCAGAGACCAGAAAAACCAACGGCACAGTATGCGGCGATGGGCGTATAAAAGGCGATGCAAACAGCGTAGTCTTCGGAATCGGCTCATTTTATTGGCTTTGCGAAAACGACGAGCGGCGGCTAGAGGGGTCAATCGACAACACGTGTGCAACTGGAAGTTCGGGAGTTGGAATGTTCGGCAATGGGGGGCAGTTGATGTTCCATATGATCCATGGACAAAGACACAATGTTTGTTTCGGCTGGCGAATAAGCGGGGGTGGCAGGCAATAATGCTGTCTGATGTAAATTTGGGGGCAAATGGCACTAAACACATACAAGTGGACGGGAAGGAGTGGGTTGTAGTGGTGCGCGGGAAAGTGGCAATCGCGATGGACGGGCCACTCACTGCGGAGTGGCGTGCGGGCGGGGCGAAGGTACACGCGGCGCGAACGAAAAAGGAGAGGGTGGTTATGGTGCGATTCCCTCGGGTCGGCAGTCGCAAGGGTTTATCACTGGTGGCCGCCTACGCACCAGTACATGCAGCACCACAGAGGGTGCGGGCGGAGTTTTGGGACCAAATGACGACGGTGATGCGGGCCAGTGCCAGTGATGACATCGTAGTGGTGGGAGGTGATTTCAATGCGGATGTGGCGGCAAACTCACATAACGACTGGCCGAGAATCGTGGGGCGACATGGTAGTTTGCGAACCAGCCAGGGAGGACGGGATATGCTTTCCTGGTGTACACGACATGGAATGCTGGTAATGGACACCTTTTTTGATCAGCCGCTGAACAAGCGATTCACTTGGTGGCATCCAGCACACGGTACGGGACACACCATTGACCACTTCCTCACGAAAGGTAATTGCTTTCGGTTTATTGATTGCGTGCGCACGGTACATGCGGATCGGCGTGGAAACGCGGGGGAACCGTTGGGTAGGTCGGGAAGGTTTCATAGGGGGCGGGCGGGGGGCAGAGGTGCACAAGGAGGGACGGTACATTGGGATGATTTCACGGATCATCTGCCGGTGGAAATGCATTGTCACTTCTGGCCGATGCAAGACCGCAACACTACGCGACAGGAGACTGGACAGGAGAATATCGTGTTGCCACAAGTGGAGAAGCTAGCAGTACCAGGAAGGGAAGCCAAGGAGCTGAGGAAAAAATGGCATGAACTGTTGCAAAAACGCATTCGGGAACACAAAGAAAACCAGGGTTACCTGGGATGGGACGACCTTACGGTCATGTGTTTGGAAACTAGCAAGGAGGTGTTAGGACCTAGACGGGCAGCGGACAGGCGGCCACATCTCAAGGGTCATGAAGCGGAAAACACGCAACTAGATGTGGATGTAGCAGAGGCGCTGGCCTGGGTTAGGGACTTCAGAGAGGACAGTCTGCCGAGAGATGCCAATAGACAACAAGAACTGTTACGGGCCCAACAACACAGCCGCCAGGTCCGAAAACATAGGCGTAAGACACGTTTGCGGTGGAAATGGGAATGGGTCGATAGAGTGACGGAAAACCTCAATAAGGCGAATCAACAAGGAAACACGAAGGAAGTCTACAGACTGGTCAAACTTCTGGGAGTCAGGCATGAAGTGACGAAACTACGGGGCTTTCAGGCGACGGTGGCGAATCCGGAGCAGGAAAGGGAGGAGTGGAAGGAACACTTTCGAAAGCTACAGGAAGGTCGGGAAATTGCGCAAGAGGATGTATGGCAAAATGTTATCGGGGGGGATGAGGAGGCCGGATGGCTGGGGGAGGCGCCCACGGACGAGGAAATTACGGCGTGCGGGATGCAAATGAAAAACGGAAAGGCAGCAGGCGTGGATGGGTTCCTAGCCGAGTTTTACAAGTATGGACCCGAGGAGTTGCGAGATGAAATCAATTCTTGTGTCAGGCAAATGTGGCAAAATGCAAAATCTGCGGTAGCGGGGCAGGAAGCGGCCGATTGGCCGGAGAGTTGGAATAAAGGCTTGGTGGTACCACTTTGGAAACAAAAAGGCGATAAAACAGACAAGTCCACATGGAGGGGTATCACGTTGCTCAGCGTAGGGTCCAAGTTGCTTGCACGGGTAGTAGCGCAGAGAGTCCAGGTGTGGAGTGAACCATGGTTACCGGAGGCGCAGATGGGATTCAGGCGAAATAGATCGGTGGACGACGCGCTACAAGTTACGCGTAGGCTGGTTGAGGAGGGTACAAGCAGTGTAGATACCGGCGAGATCATGCTAGTGCGGCTATTTGACATTGAAAAGGCGTATCCTCGCGTGAGCAGAGATTCCTTATGGCGACTGATGAAAATCAAAGGAGCCCCAAATGAGTTCATTAGCGTATGCCAAGCATTGCATGAACACACTGAGTATCAGGTGCGCGTGTATAAGGGAGTGTCAGCGATGTATAAGGTAGACAAGGGATTACGCGAAGGCTGTCCATCAAGTCCTCCACTCTTTAATTGTTACCATGCTGCTGTCATGGAAGACTTTAGGGTTCGCAGACAAATGGAAGCTACGGCGCGAGGACAAACGCCCGGCGTGGCGTGGACGGTCAAGGTGGATGGGAGACTAGGTCATGGATTTCACAGCAGACAGCATCTGACCAGGAAGGCCCAGGAACAAGTCATTAGTGATGTAGGGTTTGCGGATGATACCACTCTTGTCGGGGAGGCTGAAGAACTGCGGTATGCTGAACCACTTTTGGAGCGCACAATGAAGGATTGGTGTGAGAAGGTACATCCGGGAAAAACCGAGGGATTGCGGCTACAGGGAACAAAGCGCAAATTAACCGATGTTCGATATAAAGGGGAGCGCGCGGTAGTCAGGCATGTGGGAGGAATGCTACATGAAGAAGGAGGGTCGTATAAGGATACTGCACAGAAAATCGCTCGTGCCAACCTGAAAGTGGGCCAAGTAGCCAAAACTTGGTCTTTTGGGACGCGGAACCAGCAACACAAAATGCCGTATACACTACGCATCAAGATCATGAAAGCGGTCATCATGCCCACATTAACTTGCTTTGGGCGATCCAGAATGTGGAACCGGGAACACATCGACCAACTCCAGAGGGTGGTGAATCATGCGGTGAGGAGATGCTTAGGGACGAGGAAACTTTGGATGCATAACAATCATGTGAATGGGGACATGCTGTGTGAATTCGCCCAATGGGAACCGTTTGAATTTACCATCGCTCGACAAAGTCTGTTTTGGTTAGGACATGTGGCGCGAATGGGGTGTGACAGACTGCCCAAGCAGGCGTTGTTTGGGTGGTGGAAAGGACACAACATTAAGCAACATCCGCACATACGTCAGCAGCAGTGGCTTCAGTACCTTTTGGCACAGATACAGGTGGCTGAGCTTGACTGGTTTCGAATCGCTCAAGACAGGGAGGAATGGAAGAAAGTCGTTTTGACGGCATTTCCAATCACGAAGAGTGATCGGCAGCATGAAGTAAGAGTGAATGCGTGGGAACCGGGTTTGGGACCTCCGCCAGGGTGTGTTGGTAGGTTTCATCGGGAAAGACGCAAACGAGCGAGGGTGATGGTTAAAAACGCGCAGACGAATCAATTCGATTGTCCTGTCTGCGGACAGGGCTTTGCGAAGAGCAACAGTTTGGTGGCGCACTATGTGGAACACCACGCGGTGGCGGATCCTGATAAGATGACGGTAGATGTATATGGGTGCGAGGCGTGTGGGCAGTATTGGCGCAATGAGAAGCGACGGCGTACACATGTCTGCCCGGCGAATCCGGTGGCTCCACGACCTCCGCGACAATTTCGACAAGGGGCGTGTAATCTGTGTGGAGAAAGAATGTCTCTGTCCAATCTACCTAGGCACGAAGCTCTATGTCGGGGGCCGGACCCGGCCAATCGCACGTGTGAAAAATGTGGCTCGGTTTTAGGCAGTATCCAAGCTCGCAAGAATCATGAAGCTCGATGTAATGCATAAGCAACAAGGGCAATGGTGAGTCTGCAGGTCTGTGGTGGTATCAAGCGCCCATATCCCCCAGGATGCAGCAGGCATGTCCTGCTGCAGAGTTAGCCATGAGCTAAACTCAGACACCGTGGAGCCACGTGCCCACGGAGGGGATGGACGCTGGGGGTGGGGTGGGGGGACCGGGGGAACGGGGGGGCAGGGTTGGGTGTTTTGTTCGTCATGTGTTTCGTCTTTAATACGCGTTTCAGGGGAGCAGGGGACATGTCCCACTGCTAAGGCCTTGCACGTCTCGGCCTAGGTCCCGTGTTGCCACGAGCACACGAGGAAACGCAAACCTACTAATGCGGTCTGTGTTCAAAATCATGGCCTGCGACACCTAGGTGCGAATCTCGAATGCTGACAGGAGATCACTACCAATCCGCTTCAGCTCTTTGGTTCAAGTGCTTTTGAAGCTGCCCCGTGCCACCATGACGGACCGCGGAGGCCAGAAGCGAAAGGTGGAAGACCTAGCGAAGGGTTTGTCGGAGATGAAGGCCACTCAGCAGCAGCAACAGCAGCAGCTCGACAACCTGACAACCCGAGTCGACCGCATCGAGAAATCGACGTCGCTAGTGGTGGAGTTTTCGAACCAGGTGGAGGCGGTTTACAAAACCGCTGAGGAAACCAGAGACTTTAAGAACCTTGCAAAGCAAGCGGCAGAAGCGTTGTGTGCAGAGTTGGGTCCTAAAATCAACATGCCGTATCCGTTACCTAGCACGACGCCTGAGCAGTGGCAGGCTGAGGAGGAAGGGCGTCCGCCCTTGACAGTATGTACTACGTGGTGGGCCTTTGGCACTGCGTTGCTAGTGGGCACACGCTTCATTCTGCCGAACAAGCTCCGCTCGACTCGTGATCCGAACACCAATCAACGCGTGAGGGCTCCGGGACACTTCCTGTTTAAGCTGGAATTCGGAGATTTGTCGTTCGCTGTGCAACGAGCCCTGCAGGCAGGACTCGGCGCACACATCAACCAGAGTAATCGAGAACGCCGCGAGGCCGGCGAGGGAGACCAACTGACGGTTTTTGTGCATCGTACGGCAGAGGAGCAGAATCGTAGAAATCGTCGCAGCAACGAGGTAAACAACAACCAAGGTCAAGGTAAAAACCGAGGCTTTGGAAAGGGAGGAGGTGGGCGCCGCGGTCGAGGCCGTGGCAGGGGCCGGCAGTAGGAGTTGCCTGTAGAAGCGTTTCACCACACTGTAGGTCGACTCATGTTGATTGTTTTGTGTCTAGAGTTGTTCCACCTTACAAGCGCTCGTAGGAAATATTAGCCTTTAGCCGCTCAACATGCAGTCGATGCCCTTGAGCCATGTTTTGTCTTTTGCTTTCAGATGCAGCTGGTTTTTCTGGGAGGTGGGCCGCTTGGCTTTGTTAATCTGTCAAACGGTCACGCAGCTAACCGAAACAGGCGGCTGAACCAAACACCTTACCATCTATCTACCATTTGCGGTAGCCGAACCCCGTGGTCGGGTTGTAGAGCTCCATTTGGATCGCCTGTTCTCGGGCATCCTCCTGGTCGATGACTTTCTGGGCACGCTGAGACAGCTCGAGCATCAGTTTCTGCCACAGAATGATGCGCATCGGATGGGTGATGGATTCCGGGTCGTTCCACCGCAGCTCGTGCCATCCTTGGGCTGTGGCGAACAGCTTGGGGAGGACAGTGCCCGGGGGCTGAGTCGTGAGGAAGAGGATCCAGGTGGTGGATTGCTGTAGGACTGAGAGAGCGTCCTCGTGTCTCATGAGGAGTCTGGCCATGGTGTGGCACATGAAGAGTGAGGTCGGGACCTGAAGAAGGCCCGTATCCCGGTCCTTGTCGCTGCCATGGGGGTTGGGGGTGGTATCCGGATGGGCGACCCCCTTGACGTCTTGGCGGGCCTCCCTGAGGTGGAGGGCGGTTGGCAGGGTTCTGTTGGCCCTGGGCTCCACGGCCTGTTGAGCCCTTGCCCTTGCCTGGTTGGGTGGCTCCTTTGCTGTTGTCCCTCTGCCATTTGGAAGGTCTGTCGGGGACGTCCGTCGATGGAGGATTCGAGGAGTCCGGCATGTCTCCCTGTGGTGGGGGTTCGCTCATTAGTGTCGTTGGGGCCATCAGGGGCTGAGGCTGCTTGGGTATCAGCCGGACCTGCGCTTCGATGCTCTTGAGCTCCTGAGTGGCTTCTTCCAGGTCTTCCGGGCTCACCTGGTGCGCATTGAACATCGAGGGGAGAGTCATCGCGGACCTGAGGCAGGCGGTTCGAGTGATGTAGCGCATGCGTGGCCTGCAGCAAATGAACCAGGAACAGGACTGCACACTCAGTGGCGTGCTTGATAGGCGCTCCTGTTAAGGAGAGGCTGCAGTAGCGACAGGTGCTACCAAGGGCCAAAAGCCTGCGATGAGATTGCATACGTTGGACGGCTTCTTCGCAGCAAGGGATCATTGGGGAGTGTTTGGCTTTAATATGAGCTCGGAGGCCACGCGCTTGGGTCAGCCACTGGTGACAGTACGGGCAGTGATGGACTGCCTGGGGGAGCATCTTTTTCAGCCAAGAGGCGAGCCTTTCCCAACTTCCGACTAGGTAGAGCTGACATTCAGGTCTGTGGTACAGGGGAGTCGGGTTGAGATTGTGTTTTGGGGGTAGGGCGTTAAAGCCGTCTGGGACCAAAGTTCGGCAGGATTTGGTGGAGATGTGTATTCGTAAGTTATGCCACGAATCACACTGTCGGAGGCAGTGTCGGCACTGTGGTAGACCTTCTCGACCATGCTGCCAAACAAACAGAGCATGTTCATCTGCCGCGAAGTCAGGTAGCGAGGCCGGGGCCGTGGTAGCATCTGGGTCCATCATGACGACTGGAGTAGAGGAGGCGTGATCTGGTCCGGAGCCTGAGCAGGAGGTGGGCGCAAGTCCGAGGAGGCAGGTGCCTGTCGCACTTGAGTGTGATGGGACTTCCGCATGTGGAGACGGACGGCCTGAAGGGTACTATAGCCAACTCCGCAGATTGGGCAGTTGAGTGGCCGATAGCTGAGAACGCTGCTGATGGGCTTGAGGTGGGCGCGAGTAGAGCCTCCCCGAGTAGGGGGCATAGAGGCAGAAGGGTCGGATGCAGAGACAGCAGGCGTCGTCGAGTAGTCCTGCAGCAGATCGAACCAGGTTTCCTGCGCCTCAGTTGGAAACTCCGGGGCTTGTTGGAGATGTCGTTGGATCCGCTGGTCAAGGGTGTCGCCTGGCAGGTCGAGTTGGCTTCTGAGGAGTAGGTCGTGGGAGGTAACTTTGGTGATGTGGCCCGGTAATTTATGGATGAGGCGGAGCTGGGTGGACGAACTGAGAGAGGAGGGTGCGGGAGTGGTAGGTGATGCCTGTGGCCTCCAGGGAGTAAAGGACGACCGGGTAGACACATGTCTTCCAGACGCGGATTTTGCTGTCTAGGGTCAGTGCTCGACAGCGGAGGACCTTGGCCAGTCGCCAGTAGGCCTGCCAGCCAAGGTGCAGTCGGTGCTGCAGGTTGAGAGCTTCATGGTTCTGGTAGGCAACTCTGGCTCCGGCGTCGACTATCTTGATGAGCATAGTAGTTTGACCTACGCGAAGCTTTATTGCGGGCTCGCCTGTTTCCAGCTTGGCGAGTCTGGGGCGAAGAGTGCTTCTGGCCGCAGTACCTTGGAGATTGAGCAGGAAGACAGTTTTCGTGGGCGACACTCGGAGGCCTGCTTCGTGGAGGAGCTGGATCAGTATGCCTGCCGCGCGCAGGCTGGAACGGAATTGTTCCTGTGTCCGTATGGTTCAGGAGGACCAGATATCATCGGCATAGAGGGTGGGCTCTCCCAATATCTCCTTCTTTTGAGTGATTGTCTCTTTGAACTTTAGGTAGAGCTTTGTGGTTGCCATAGACCACAAGAGGGGCGAAAGACCGCAGCCCTGACGGATGCCCTGTGAGAGCTCGACTTCGTCTTTGTGCCCTGCCAGCTCGAAGGTGAGCTTGGCCTGGTCGTGGATGTGGAGCGCAAGCGCTACCTCTTCTGATGTCAGGCCTGCTGCCTGCATTGAAGTCACAAGCTGTTCTCTTGGCAGCGAATCGAAGGCTTTGTCAACGTCCAGGCTTAGCGAGAGACCCCCGGCGAGTTGACAGGGGGTTACGCCAGAGTGGCGCTGGTGTCTTTTGGGAACAGCGGCTGCAGCCAAGGTTCGTGCTTCATGCAAGTGGCTGCATACACGGCTGATCGCGTCCGTGGTGCTGCGATTGCTGACGTAGGCGAATTGTGGCGCTTGGCGGATGTATGCTTCGGCTCTGTCACGTATACGGTCTGCCAGCATCATGGCTAGGATCTTGCTGCCAGGTGGGAGGAGGCAGATGGGGCGCAGTTGTTTCGGGAGACGAGCCATTGTCACCTTTGGGATGAGGCATACGTGTACGCGGTGCCAGTCCTCGGGTAGGCAGTAGGTCGGCGGCTGGAGACAGTGCTTCAGGCCTTCCGCTAGGTCTGGCCCAATGGCCGTTGAGGCGGCTTGCCACACGCGAGCAGGCATGTAGTCTGGTGGAAGGGCCTTCCGGGCTGGGAGGCGCGCGAGGGCGCTGCTTACCTCGTCGGCAGTAAAGTGAAGGTCTACAGCGGGTTGTGGTGGTGTGGGTCGACTTGTGGTTGTTTGGTATAGGCCCTCGAAGTGTTGACGGATGGCCTTGAGTTCCTCCTGCGGGGACATCAGCATGCCATCCGCATCGCGCAGCTGGATGCGGGAGTGTCGGGTCTTTGGTGCCAGAAGCCTGGTGGCTTTGTAGAGGGCTCCCGGGGTGGTGCAGCGTTCCGCCTCACTGAGGATGTTGTCAAGGCGCTCTTGTTTGCGAAGACGGCCTCGTTTGTGGAGAATGTTTTGTGTCGTGCGAATTTGCTGCGTGAGGTGAAGGGCTTGGGCTTTTTGAGCAAATGTTGTCGTAGGCTGTGCTTGTTTGAGTCGCTTTAGGCGCCAGAGCTCTTTAACAGTGATGGCGGTGTCTGGTGCGTCGTGGCTCGGCTTTGTTGGAGTAGTCCTGGAGAGGCCTGCCGAGGCAGTAAGACTGTCCCAAGTCTGTTGGAGGAGAAGATTGATGTGTCGGCAGGGGTCTGCTCCGGGGGGTGTGGGCCGAAGCTGCAGCTGGACTGCTACGGAGTGTGCAAGTTTCGGGCCAAGCGAGGGGTCCGCAGCTAACGCAGCCTGTGTGGAGGCAGCATTCCAACGTTGGCATGGGGAAGGCCTGTCTTTGGGGAGTAGGCGGTGACTTGGCCAAGGCATAGTGGTTTCGAGGGGGCGGTGGCGGTTGCCTTGTGGTGGAACGAACGGAGCGTTCCTCAGGGCGCCAGCCCGTCGCGTGCATCGATCCGATTGAGCTTCCCTGCACAAGATGAAGTCTATGCGGGTCCTGGTTGCAGAGGGCCCCGTTCCGGCAACGTAGGTGGCGGCATTGGCTTGTCGGCCAAAGGTGGTGACAGCCAGGAGTTGATTATCCCTTAGGAGGCTTTGAAGTCTCCCGTAGTCCTTCTGTGGTGGGACCGTTTTTCGAGCAGGGCTGCTGTGCGTGCCAGTCGGGGTGCATCCGGTGGCGGAACACACTGTGTGTTAAAGTCGCCGAGCACTAGCAGCTGGTGGCGTTGGGCAATCCCTCCAACGAGAGTGGACAGTTTGCTCCAGACTTTTTCTCGATACTCGAGCAGCTTTTCCTGTGTGGGGGTGACGGTGGAATTGGTGGACCAACAGTGCTGGTAGAGGCTGATGATAGAGATGGGTGGCTCGGTGGCTAGTTTAGTATACAGCAGTCTGCCAGGGATAACATGGTCAGTGCGCACCTGGTGGGTGCTGGCCAAGTCCTGGTGGATCAGATGGAGAATTCCTGCACTGCGGGTTTTAGTATCCAGGGAGCTGTGCAAGTGCCAGTATCCCTGGGCCTGCCACTCACTGGTAAAGGTCCAGTGGGTCTCCTGGATGGAAAGTATGTGGATCGGTCTGCCTTGAAGGGCTTCCATATGCATCCAAACATATACTTCATCGAGTTTGGCGGTGCTGAGGCCGCCCGCGTTCCAGGAGATGGCTCGGTACCTTTTCGGGGAGGTAGCAGGCTCTGGCGGTGTGGGCAACTGGGCTTGAGCATGGGGGTCAGGTTGTCTGACAGTATCTGAGTGGTAGACCTGGCCTTTATATCGGGCAGTTCCCGTGGTGGCAAGGCGCTTCAGGAACCTCGCGTAGGAGCGTTTCTTGACCGGAGAGGAGTGTGCAGCAAATGGCGATGCGGTATCGCCTGAAGTAGGTGGCGCGCGAAGCTTTGCCGCACTGTGCGGCCTTCGAAGTGCAGTAGTAGCGACTTCAGGGGAGTTCGCGACTGTCTCCCCAACCCTCGCACCTGCCGAACTCAGAAGCTGAGATCCTAGGATGATGGCCTTGAGGTAGGCTGGGGTTCGTCCTTTTGTTCGCGTCTGAGTTCGGTCCCCGGATTTGGGACCGGGGCGGCTCGACTTATGGAGAGCTGAGAGTGTGTGTGTGCGTCGTGTCGTCTGCTCTGCTGGGGGAGGAGCAGCTCTGAGGGTAGTGAGGGGCTGCTTGAGCCCAGGGGTCAACATCTTGAGAGGCAGGCGAAGCTGCAGGGCACAATGGCTGACGAGAGGCAGTTGCATCAGTGTCTTTTCGCAGGTCCGTTCATGCCGTGCTGGTCGCAGCAAGGGTCCAATAATAAGGGCCATCGTATAAAGGTTAATCCAGGCTGTGTAGGTCCAGTTCCAGTCGCGGGGGTGCTTGGGGTTTCGTAGGACCTGAGAGGGGTGCCTGGTCTGTATCCGGGAGAGGAGGGGCTGTCTCATCAGTACGGTCCGGTGCAAACTGGTGATAATGCAGCCTGCACAGGGTGCAGGCCGGAGACGGTACAAATTCTGCCGGGTCCCCCGCCATAGGTCTGCCATCGGGCAGGGCATCACGCAATTGAGCTCTCCACGCGCTGTGACATAGGGAGATCTGAGGCCAATTGGCGAATGTCGGGGCAGTGTTCGATACCAGCCTGTAGCCTTCGCAGATGTGGAAGGCTGATGGGGTTGCTGTAGCATGGAACTCAGGGACAGACCACCGCAGGCGAGGACTCCTCTAGCCTGGGTGCACGGGCAGAGGTGAAAAGACTCCGGCAGGCACAGGTTTCCGCGCAGGCGTCGGGCTGAAATGTCCTTCCGGTGGATGTACCTGGGCCAAGGCAGAGGTGGGGCAGGCAGGGGTGGGGTTCAAGGAGGCTAGGGACACAGTTGGAGGACGTGAGCCATGGGGGTCCTTTTCCTGTGGCAGCCTCGGGGTCGGTACTGCGGTTCCAGGTCGCTTGGTAATGGTGGCACTCAGCAGGGCTTGTCTTGTGACGATTGCGGACCTGAGGCCTGGGTGGAAGTCGTCGGTCCTGTAGGGGAACGAGATCTCGAGCGGGCGCGTATTGGAAGAGTGGAGCCGGCAGATATAGCTGGCCCGGTGGGAGTCCCTGCCAATGAGGCAAGGGTCCGCTCTGCTTCCTCCGCTGCTGCCAGGAGGTCCGCCGTGTCAATGGAGTCTGGGGATCCTGGTTGGGCCAGAGATGACTGAGGCTCCCTGAGCTCGGTCGTGGTCTGTAGAGGACCAGGACGTGTAGCCAAAGTTGAGCCGATGGAGTGCCAGTTGTTGGTGTTCCAGACCTGATTATGCAGACCAGCTCGATATCGCTCTCTGACAATGGTGCTGTCCAAGGTCTGATGTAGGCTGGCCAACGCCGCTGTGAGGTCAGCGTGTTCTGTAGGTGGAGGCGATCCAGCCGCCGCTGACGAGATACCTGATGGTGTTTGCGACATGGTACAGCAGGGCCGTGTGGGATTATAGAGACCCGGCGAGAGCTAGACAACAGCTTGAGCCTGCAGGTGTGGGCAGGAGAACCAAGAAGGCATGGAATGGTCTGGCTGCTCAAGCTTGTGCAATATCTCTGTGCAGGCTGGGGCTCGTGCCTCGCGCGCCAGTGCACACCGATCGGGGACGTAAGTTTGGACCCAGCGGCTTTCAGATAGAGGAAGTGGGGATTGGAAGGGGGAAGTAAGGCCAGGAGGAGGAGGAGGTATAGGTGCACCATCCTGCGGCCTACTTCTACGCGCACATACACACACACTACGTTTCGTCGTTCGAGCCCAGGTGCTTAGTAGTAGTAGTAGCAGTAGTAGTAGTAGTAGTAGTAGTAGTAGTAGTGATAGTACTAGTAGTACTAGTAGTAGTAGTAGTACTACTACTAGTAGTAGTACTACTACTACTAGTAGTTGCAGTAGTAGCAGTAGTAGTTGTAGTAGTAGTAGAAGAAGTTGTAGTAATACTAGTAGTAGGAGTAGTAGTACTGGTACTAGTAGTAGTAGTAGTAGTAGTAGTAGTACTACTACTACTACTACTAGTAGTACTTGTAGTAGTAGTACTACTACTACAAGCAATCGCAGTAGTTTACAGTAGTAGAAGGAATCTCAGCAACAGTCCTAGTAGTAGTAGTATTACTACTACTAGTACTAGTACTACTAGTACTACTACTACTACTACTACTACTACTACTACTACTACTACTACTACTACTACTACTACTACTACTACTACTAATACTACTGCTAGCACTAGTACTAGCACTAGTAGTATGGCCAAAAAAGTGGTAGCAGTACACACAACCACACCCTCCTTTCGTCAATACCCAAAACCTCGACGCACGTGCCATCCTGGGCTACTCAACCTAACTCTGTGAAACTTCGAATCCTTGACTGTCGAATCGCCTGAGTTGTTCAGAAACCCATAAAAAATAGCTTCAGTGCTACCCCCCCCCGGGCCGAAACTTACATGCTGAACCGGAGAAGCCTTCCGTGTCAATCAATCATCGTCACTCATTATAGGACGAATATATATGTAGAGAATGTCCGTGTCGGGCTGACAATGTTCAACTGTACTGCAGCCGAGGCACGCAGAGGTGAAACAACTCGCAGCCGCAACACTTCCAAGTCCAAAGATGTGCTGTGCATCCAAAAGAGAGACCGAACGCCCATGTTGAATTCGAAAAACTCATGGTCCTTGTCCTTAACGATCTTGCCGGGCCATGCGAGTGCAGCCAAACGGTATGTCCGAACGATGAACAACGGGTCTGCACCTGCCAGTACAACATGTCCTTCGGGCAAAAGTCCAGAGCACCAACCTTCTTCACAAAGCGACCATCGCTTGGCCCTCCACGCCTTCATCAGTAAACTGAAGGCAGCCAAAACCTCCTGTTCCTCGGCGTGGTTGTGGGAGACCCAGTCCCTCGTCTTCGTCACGTCTGCAAGAAGCTGTGCTTCCTGCACCTCCGAGGCACTGACCTGCGTGCTGACCGACGAATCGGAACGACGACGAACTGCTTGAATCTTCTTCTTCTCGGTGTCTTTGCAGAAAAGTTTGGCCACGTCAAACGCTGCCGGCGTGTGGTAGAGCTCCGTTGACAGTGCCTCCACCCTCTCGTACATCTTGACCACGGCCTGTTGGGTCACAGCCTTCCATCCGTCCAAACGACCCAAGTCCTTCGAAGACGAATGTCGTTGCTCGGCCTCGCGCTGGACTTTATTACAGTCTTCGATGATCTTCGTGTTCAAGAGGCCCGACCAAATGCTGGTCAATACGTGTGCAACGTCCTCCGTAAGGCTCTGAAACCGGGTAGTGCAAAGATCGGCGAGGATGTACCGACTAATCGGCCCTTGGGAGAAATGACCTTCGAGCAATTTTTGCCATACGAGAACCACCACTGTGCGTGTCCTGGATACAAGACTGCATCTCTTTGAAAAAATCCAAGCTTGCCCGACGGAACTGCTCTTCAGCATGGACTAGTCCTGCGGTCGCACCGAAACCTCCAGTATGGTACAGCTGTGCCCCGGCCCGCAGCCGCAGGATCTGTAGTGTCAACTGCGTCATTTGGCCTGCGAGCGAGTCCTGCCAGACAAGCTCTGTCTCGTCCGGGGGTTGTGCGCGTGCCAGTGTCAGGTCGAGGCCGACACGAGATAAACCTTCCAAATTCGACAAAGTCCTGACGTGGTCCTTTGCAGTGCTCATCCAAGACCAGTGTGCCCAGCCAGAGTAGTAGTCCTTCGTCATGCCTTTGGAACGCAGCTGCTTGAGCATGAGCGAACAACGAAGCTCTTCGGGTTGCAAGACCTGGAACATCATCCTGGCTGTCGTCTTGTTGTCCTGCGAGATCACGAACTTCGTCATTAAGTGTAGACTGTTCGCGCTGCCCTTCCGCTCCTGGTCCATGCCTTGCTTGGCCTCCTGTATGGCAGAAGACTTGCTTCCACCATATGGAACCGAGGCACGGGCCTGGTTGCTGTCCTGCGAGAAGAGGTCCTTAGTGGAAACTGCCCAGTTGTGCTCCAAGCAGACCACCGTGAGAACTAAAGCCAAGACCGACCACTCTTTGTCCAGCGCGCTGTGGGCCGTCGTCAGGGAATTGAACCGACTCTTGCTGGCCTTCGTGCCCTTGATGCGGATGCAGTCCATGTCGGGTAATGTCTGCAAAAACGACCTGCGTTTCTCCTCCGTGTTGTCGTCCAGGGGGGAGAGGCCGGCGTCCAGCAGAATGTCCGGGAAGAAAAGGAGCAATATCGGGTCCGAGGGGTCCATGTTGTCCTTCATGCGATTTGCGGCTTGCTGGATCTTCAACGCCCACGAGCCCTTCTGCCAGGGTCCATACCTGATGTTGTACAGCGAGATGCACCATGTGCAGAACTTCAGGAGTCCAGCGGCCGACAAGGCCAAAGCCACGTCGTTGTGCGACCTGTGGGCGGGGTCCGAGACGTGTTCGATCCAGAGGCTCTTTTTGTTCCTCAAGAAGGAGACAGCCGCCAGCTGTGTTGCTTCTTGGTCGGTGCACAAAATCATGATCGGTGCACGTTTAGCCTTCGTGTCGTCCTCCGCGGGGCCGGCCGGCGTGCTCTGGCAGCAGCCAAAAGTCCAGCCAATGGGTCGCAAGCCGTGGTTTATGTCCTGCATCCAAGACAGTGTGGCCAGCCGGTCCTCCGCATGACCAGGTCCAACGGGTTTCTCGATCCCGAGGAACTTCTTGGAAGCCTTGTTCCACATAGCTTTCCACTGCTCAGCCGACAAGACGGACGATTTCTGGACCTGCTGCGTGGTCTGACTACACAGAGAAAAATGTGAAGCAAAGCTTAGAGGAAGAGCTTGTCAGCAACAGCACGCAAAACAAACGACAGAGGTTGTTACCATATAATCACCCAGGGGCCCTTTTTTGGGGGACCGGCCGGTCAACTTAAGCGGGGATCTGGCGTACCTTTTTGGGGGCCGAAATGCAGCCAAAATGTGGCCGAAATGCGTTCCTCGGCCTCCACCCGGGACCCGGTCAACTTAAGCAAGGCTGTGCGTACCTACTCATCAGTAGAAGGGCGGCCGGGAGCCTTTATCAGGCCAATCCCGAAACCCAGGGGTCAGCGGGGATACGTGTACCTATCTTTATATAAAATACAATAGAAAGACTCCGCCCCAAACCGAGCCTGAGCGGGGATACGTGTACCTCCCCTCGGAAAAACGATTTTGGTCGGACCCAGAAGCTACGAAAACGGCACCCAAAAAGGTCAACTTAAGCAAGGCTCTGACGTACCTCGCCTCTTGCCTAAAACGCCTCAGAAATATGTGTTGCTTAACAAAAAAAAAGCGCCTGCGGCGGGCAGACCCAAACTTTGTCCGTCGTGTGGTTGTACACCATGATGTTCAGCCAATCGTCACTTCCCACGTGCACTGCATCTGCCACCACGCACAAAATGTCCGTCGAGAGGAAATCTGACTTGCCCTGCGTGACATAGGCGTATCGCTCCATGCGTGCTAGCCTGTGTGCGTCCATAGAAGCGTGCTTCTTGATCTTTTGTTCGTCCTGCTGTTCGCTGCTGTCCTGCACGGTGAACGCATGTCCTTGCAATGTGGAGGTAAGTGTCCTGCGTGTGGCATTCGATGAACTCGCAACCTCTTGTCGAAAACTCGTGGACGACCGACGATATCCGGAGGTGCTCCTGAAACAACAGGGGGAATATCAATTTTCGGGCTTTCAAGACACAACCCTACATCTTAAAACCCCGGAACCCTCCAAACCCTTCAAACCCTCCAAACCCTCGAATCGAAACCTCTCTCCTAAGCTGCATCACTTGCTTCACATTCAAAGATGTCCAGCAGGAATGCGTGTCGTCCGACGAATCCATGGCACGTGCCAAAGCCGCCAACAAGTAGTACTTCGTCCTCAAACTAGATGACTTGCGAGTGTCTCCAATTGTCCGACGGGTGCAGTCCACATTCACATCCTGCAGCACGTCCATGAATCGGGAACGATCGCGGTGTAGTACTTTAGCAAGTAAACTGTTTTGCAGTACAACCTCGTCCACGTCCAGCGAACCTCCTTTGAACGGCAGCACCAGAGTGTTTCCGTCCCACGTGAATGAGAAGTCCTGCGGGGTCTGCAGGAACAAGGAAGCGAGGCCTTGAAGCAACTCCCCGGCCAGCTTGGATACCTCCTCTGCCGGCTTCTTCCATTTGGCATCTTTGCGCATACCCTGGTGCCATTGATGCAAAAGAACAATCGTTGCAAAGCTCGACGTGGCAAACTCTGTACAACGTGTGCTTCGTCCAGCTGCTACCTCTTCCATCTGGTCACCCGTGTGCTCCTCATTGTCCGCTTGCTCGTTGTCGTCCTCCATGTCGTCCTGCATCTGCTGCGAGGATGCCTTTCGTTTGGTGCCCTTCTTCTCGGCGTTTGCAGCGTGCTCCTGCTGCTTGAGGAGGGAGAACGAACTCTGGAGAAAGTGCGACTCGATCTCTTTTTTCAGAGCGTCCTCCGTGTCTGTCCAGCAGGGCCATGCAATCGTGAAGAGCTTGTTCCTGAACGTCGACACACTGCCTGCGAGGAAATTTCGAGACTCGTGTCCTCCGAGGAAGTCCACAAACCAACGCATGTGCCAAAAACGATGTCCATCCGTTACCTTGGTCTGCGGCTCTTTGAACTTGTAGCTCTCGCCCTTGAGGCTTCCGTGTGTCCCGCAGGGAATGCAAAATGCAACTGTCCGACGCTTGTCCGACGCAGAGCTGAAAAAAGCTGGAGGTCCTGAAGAAGAGGGTCCATCGGCAGAAGCGGGCTCCAGCATCTGATAGCGAGTGGATCAATTCTACAGTCTGTTTCTGGTGAACGAATGTAGCAAAACTTTATAGGCTATGTCCCAGGAAGTATATGTGACATCTGCCAAACCAAGAGAAAGGGAGGCTCTGCAGGCATGCAGCTTTTATTCTGGAAGCCCAAAGACAGCGGCAACGAATCGCTGATGTCGCAAGGCAGTGCTCACACCACGTGTCATGGGTCTGTGTTCTTCTGCAACATGTATGTAGCACATACTGCAAGGCACCGCAAGGAAGTCATTATTGCAGTCAGCCATTCATCGCACGTATTCTTTTATGCAGCTTGCAAGTTGCCGGCTTCACGGCCCCAGTGAAACTCGTGCCTGTCCACTCACTCAGACACAATGGGTCGAACGGCGAGGCGAACGACATTGTGCTTTTCGAGTGAACAAACTGGACAGAACAACGAGTAAAGTCAACCCCAAACTCAAGACACACTGAACTACCAGGAGAGAGTGCATTATGCACTCCGGACCGACGGGGTGCCCTGCGGCACATTGTCGCCGAGGCCAGCCGTGGTGTCTGCGTCCGACGACAAGTCGAAGGTCCACTTGGCCTTCATGTCCGGCAAAGTAGGAAAGAAACTCGCGCATTCAAAACTGAACAACGAGTTATGCTGTCCATCTGAAATGACACAGTCCACCGCAAAAGGGTCGTCCAATTGCCACGTCTTGTTGTCCGGGAGAGTAGGAAGCTCGTGGCTGAGGTACGACTCGTTGGGTACGAACTCCGAGCGGGAACGGCGAGGGTGTCCATCTTGTGTGGCAAAGACGTGGCAGTACAACGTGTTGTTCTCAAGTGACCAGATGTTGTACCTGTCCCGGTCAACACTGATAGCCTCCGCCGAGTTCACCGCAGCTATGTAGTTGCGACCAACGTCCTCCATGCGGGCCCTCGCTAACTTGACCAACGTGGACTGATAGCGAATGTCCGCACGAGATGGCAAGGACGCCGACTTGGCTGCCCAGAACTGGATCTCGAAGAGGGTCCGTACGACGGGTTCGTCCTTCTGTACGTCCTCCGCGAGCTCCACACCGCAATGCTTGAGCATTAAGCTCGCCATCTCAAGCGGCAAACTGCCCCATTTGGTGCACTTGCCCTTCCATCTCAGTCCACCGGTCTCCTCCTTCTTGGCAACGTCCTTCAGAAGACCATTCAACGAGCCCGAGCGGATCAGACCAGCGAGTGGAGAAATCCAAGTCGGGTTCTGGGTCAGCGTGTCTTGAATGAACCGCATGTCCACGTCGAGTATGGTGCTTTTGGAGTGCTGAACGGCGGATGCGAACGTCGCCTCGTTGCGCTCCCGGGTCTTGATGTCCTTCGCTTTCTGCTTCGCCAGCTGCTTGAGGGTGGGCTTGCGGGGGCCGGCATCACGAGGCATGCTGGGCAAGGTCCGTCGAGGAAGAACGACGGGGAAGGATGATAAGACTGCACGAAGTCTCAACGCACAGGCAGGACGGCTTCGGAAAACCAAACAATCAATCAAGCCCTGCTGCTGGGTGGTCTCACAGTGCATTGTGACTGGACGAACATGGCAAGCAAGACACAAAGCGTAGACCGCACGAGAGCACAGTGCCTGAAACGAGAAGGCTCAGCGGCAGCGATGCCGGCCAATGGAGTCCGTGTCCTCCATATGAACAGGACAACAGCGATTGCAAGAGCGCCTTCCTCCAGCTGGTTGACTACTGGTCTAGTAATTACTCGTAGCAATACTAATCCAGATTGCGAAGAGTAGTACTAGCAGCAGTACCACTACTCATTAAAGAAAGGAAAAACCAGTAGGCCGAAATTGCAGTCCCTATTAGTTGAAGTAGAAGTATTAGTAGTAGTAGTAGTACTAGTAGTACTAGTAGTAGTAGTAGTGTACTAGTAGTAGTAGTAGTAGTAGTAGTAGTAGTAGTAGTAGTAGTAGTCGTAGTAGTAGTACTAGTACTAGTACTAGTCGTAGTAGTAGTAGTAGTAGTACTAGTCGAAATAGTAGTAGTAGTAGTAGCAGTAGTACTGGTTAGCTAGTAGTAGTAGTAGTAGTACTAGAAGTAGCAGTAGTAGTCGTAGTAGTGCTAGCAGAAGTAATAGTAGTACTAGCTAGCTAGCTAGCTAGCTGGCTAGCTAGTAGTAGTAGTAGTACTAGTAGTAGTACTACTAGTACTAGTAGTAGTAGTAGTAGTAGTAGTAGTAGTAGTAGTAGTAGTAGTAGTAGTAGTAGTAGTAGTAGTAGTACTAGTAGTAGTAGTAGTAGTAGTAGTAGTAGTAGTAGTAGTAGTAGTAGTAGTAGTAGTAGTAGTAGTAGTAGTAGTAATTAGTAATTAGTAGTAGTAGTAGTAGTAGTAGTAGTAGTAGTAGTAGTAGTAGTAGTAGTAGTAGTAGTAGTACAGTAGCAATGCTAGTAGTACTTGTACTAGTCGTGGTAGTAGTCGTAGTACTGAGTTGTACACCTCATGATTATTTTCCTGAATCAAGCCACACCCGAAGCCCCTCTGTGGACAAGTATGGTGAACTTCCAGAAGTGAAATCGGTTTATACCATGCACTGTAAGTAGATCTAGTTAAGGAGACACCACCCGCAATGAATAGGCCAGAACTAACCTTAATGATTCACAGCCACAAACAACAAATCTAATGTGTAACGCCCAACACTAAAATTTACCGCTCACCCTCGATTCTATGCACTCGATGCTTGAAATGCTGAAATGGCAACCCAGGCAACAAACCGGACTCCAATTGCTCAAAGGCCTTTAACTCTTTATGTCTACGGCAATTGCTCCATGTCTGCTGCAGGTGGATCCTAACTTACCTCAGAGTCCGCGGAATGCCTTGTCACAATCCGAAAGCATGACCCCTGACTTAGTCCTCGTCCTGCCGTGTGGCCGTGCCCTGCGAACCGAACGAGGAGTGACCGACCTCAATTGCAATGCATGAAGCACATGACAAACCTAGTACGAGTGACTGGTGACTGCGGGTGGTTCAAGCACTTGTCGCTTCCGAGTGTGACAGGAAAGAACACAGCAACTGTGCCGATGCAAATCGTCACAAACTGTGCAGCACCAGAACTCCGAGGACCCCGCCAAAGAGGTGCCAGTCCATGTCAGCAACCTGAAGCGCAAAAGTTTAAGTCAGCAAACAGTGCGATAGGAACTAACATCCGGCAAATGTAAAGTGTGCCAGGACAACTCTTTTGAACGGCGAGAGCGAACTGATCTGAACTCCGAGTGCAGAAAACGTGTCACTTTCGAGACTGGCCGGCGAGAGCGAACTGCTCCAGAACTCCAAATGGAGACTGGCCGGCGGGTACGTCGTGCTTGAACGAACTGCGGCTAGTTCCACGAGCCCGGTCCAAGTTCGAGTTTCTTGAGAAACAGTCCGATGCACTGAAAGTCGATCGTGTCACCTGAACCAGCGATGTCCGAAAATTTGTCGACTTGGTAAGTATTTCAGTTATACTACAAGGTTTACCAACAAAAATCTTACTGGTTCTGCTGTTGCACGTCCGTCGGGGCCCTTCGTGATGCAGAAGTACAAGTCCGACGCGTTGTGCGACGACACCGCGTAGTACATGTGGCCCTGCCAGGGAACGGGGACGGCCACCGGGTAGGCCTCCCAGTCGCGGTTCAGCATCTCGACCATCCACGATTGCGGGTGTCGGGAACCGAACAGCGGGGAATGGAGTCCGGCGGAGAGGGCGCTGTCTGTCCTGCGCTGGGCCGCCCCGAGTATCTGCTTGAAGCAGAGCCTGGACCGGCAGTGGGTGCTGCGTGTTTAACCACTCACACACACAAGTGCAAGTACTGGAATGCTTGAATGACTGAGTGCGCTGATGTCATAGCTGAGTGCCACACTCCAACATTTTATCGCCCTGCATGTGTTCGACGAGTATCTGCCAGCCGTCGTCCTTCCTGCTAGGGAACAATTCAATTATCAGAAACACAAACTATTAAAATCTAGAAGTCTCTCTCACTCACCGTCCGAGGAGTCCGTGTCGCGAAGGCAGGGGGCCGCTTGTACAGCAGTCCATCGGTTGCAGCAAGCCAAGACCAAAGCCTACGGGATGTGCTCTGTGGAAAATAATCAATGTATTATAATATTATATGGCTTTAAAAGCATGCACCTTCATAGAAACCACGCTACAACCAACATGGGTGTAACGAGCCTGTCCGCCCATTTCTGCTGCGTGTCGTACGGCGAGTGTTCGGGTACAAAGACAGTCGAGAGCCATTCGGTGCGCCATTCGGGCATCCTGTCGGGTTGTCCAGTGCGGAAATAATATGCCTGCGCAAGGCTCAGATCGGCGAGGAAGCACTGCAAATCCTCCTGCGAGTCAATGTCCGGCGGAAGGCAGTCCAAACAGTTCGACGGCAGCTGCTCGCAATAATCGAGATTACGCTGCAGGATGGTACTTGGGTCTTCCATCCCACAGACCGACGCGAGGTAATAGTCCATCGCACGAAAATCGAATATGACCTCGTCCTGCGGGTCGGTGGAACGGCGAAGAAAAAACGGGAGTCCATGGGGAAGTCCTGCTCGGTCAGCGGAACCGGAGGACGACATGTCCGACGAGAAAGAACGAGGAAAGGGAGAGGAATGATGATGACAGTGGCAGGTGGCTTGGGCTTTCTGGCAGCGGCATGATAACAATGATTCTGTGTCTAGGCTTCTTTAAAAAACCTAAAGCATCACCAACCACGACAGACCATGATGCTTCAGATGAAAGTCTGCCTGACTTGTGCTGCTGCTCCACACTGGCAAGTGCTAGGCTGCCCACGGTGATCTACGTGTGCCCACTCGAAGTCCAGCGGAGTCACCTTTGTGAGGCCGACGTTAGTACTACATGGGAACCATGGACTCATGATTTGTCCCTAGTCCTTCGGGGTGGTCCTGCGGTGCCGCTTTTGAACTTCCTAGCTTAAATCATAGTAACTTCGAATGCAAAGTGCACAGAAAAGGAGCTTGGACAGTCCTAGGAACCGACCTTGAACAGTCTGGTTACAAAACCCAGCATTCTTTACAAGAGGCAAGCTGCATCGAACTCCGAACGACCGTTGCAATGTGTACTGACGACCCAGGCCTTGTGTCTAAGTCTTCAAACTGACATGTATAACTATGATTCTAAACTGCATTCAGTCAGCTGCTAACCACCCTTGTCCCAAAGGAACCCCACACCCTGTGTAAACCCGACAGCTGAAACACAGACTCTGTGTGTGTGTGGGTGTGTGTATGTGTTGTCCTGTGTATGTCCTGCGAGTGCCAACAGCTGTTGCTTAGTGTTGCATGGGAAACCAGATGAACACAACGTCCCAAATGAAGTCCCCAATCTCAGAAGATGTAAGTAACAAGCGAAGAAACCTGTAAGTAGCATCTCAAGACAAGATGGTTCCAAAGGCAACCGCTAAAGAAAAGTATAAGTACCAGGAGAACAAACAGGGAATGTGCATTCTCGAGTCCAGTACCATTATACCACTGCACAAGTGCAAGAACTTACTGTACTTACCCTGTGCCCTGAAGAGAACCATCCTTTAAACCCAAACAAAAAAAGCATGAACAGACCTGAGCTTGCAACGAAGGATTGCGCATGGAAGACCTGATGCGAGGAAGCTTGAGGGCTTCTCCTCTTTAATATTTTATAATTCTGAGTATTAATATAATATTATTATTGCCTGATGTGAAACCTCCACAAAGACTGAGACACCCAATCCAAACCACTTTTTGACTGTCCATGGTTTGAATATCAAAAAGCTCGTAAATTAAATATGAAGACAGACCTTTCCTGAGAGGGAAGAATAACGATTCTGAAGCCCCCTGTAGACTACTGCAAACTCCATTATCGCAAATCCACCTCTGAGTCTTTGCCATCCGACTTAACATTTACATAGAAGACATGGACACCACATTTTCCTAGCCGCATGGCATATGAGAAATATGAATTATCTGTGCAGTAACGGCGCGGCAAAACAGCTAACTCCAAACCGTGATGAATCTTTCATAAGAGACCACGACCCAACCAGCAACACATGATCGGAGCCGCTCTGAGCACCCAGCTGCGAAGAAAGGGTGGCTTCAAAGCACCTGACGCTGGCAAACACTGGCATGCTGATACGACTCACTTACTACCTCAGGAAAGCATTCTGCGGCAACGACTGCAGAACCGCACTTTTTCCTGCTGTGTCCGGCGAGTCGAGAAGTTGGCGAGTCGAGTACCGTGTATCAGACCGACGAATCAGGATATTTCTCTATTCCAGGATGCTGCTATGCGGCCTTCTAAAACATTAATTTAATAGTTTGTCCTTCGAGGAACCGTCGAGTCTGATATGCACGGGAACTACGGGGGACTCCGTCCTCCGGGGGGAGCAGCCGGCTTGCGGATGCAGGCGGGTGCCTGCTTTGCCGC